AGATTCGCCGAAACCACTTTGCATAAGCAATTTTCTGTGTTATTATTCAAAGTGAATCGCTGTACCCATCTTCGTCGGGCACTTCACAACAGTTTGTCGCTGATATTTTGATAAATTGCAGGTATTGGGGCGTGATAACGGAGACAAGAACTTATGGTCGACTCCGAGTGGTCATCTCCTTTTTGTAGGCTACAGCACTTTCTTAGCGGTAACCCAATAAGCATCGATTTTACATCTCTTTGATTCCTGTGAAGAAGACATTTCACTGACAGACTCACAGCACTCATCTCACTCTGTTTGTGGATTAGAGCTGACAGTTCTAACAAATCCTCGCTGCAAAGCATCAGCCGGCACAAATTGCTAATAGTTTCATTTCCATTTCCCATGCAATAATAGCTGCAAGACAAACAAGGCACGCTGCTCCCCTTAAAACTGAGCTGGAAAGAAACAGCCCCCCTCTTTGATCCTTCCAATCCAACTGAGAAGAGTGCGATCAAAGGTTGCTCATGTTTAACACTGCTGTGGTCTCCCAGGTTGCAGTTGCAGGTGTGGCTCTGTGAAAGGCCTGCTGATGGCATAACATGCATTGACTAACGGTGCGGGTTAGGGTTATGGTTGAAAGAATTCCATGTCATTTCCAGCTTCTTGTTCATGTGCACAGAGCTAAAATTCAATATCTCAAACCTCTCAAAATGATTTTTTTGAGGGGGTCACAAAAAAGCAAGTGCTTTACTTATTTTAATGTAGTTGCACTTTATATTACAGCTTGGTAACAGTGAGATAATAAGGTGGAAAAAAATTAAGTAATATTGTGGAAATAACAAGTTATTACCAACTGGTCCATTTGGTCCACTGGTCTGTGTGTTTGAAGGTCTGTTTTTGGTTTTGATTTTGATGATAATAATGATGGCAATAATACAGCAATGGTCCTTTGTAACTGCGGCATTACAGGACACAAGGCTAATGAGCCCAATGTCACGTTTTAAAGATGTTTTATAGCGATAAATAAAGGCAGCCATTTATGTTGTTACCAAATTCGTCTTCCTGTTTTGTTCCCAGGTTTCAAATCAAATAACTGCAGACAACAGCACACAAATCCCATGTGAACAAATGGCAGGCTTTTTCTATGATTTCCAGCATTTACTCCATGTTCCAACTTTTGAACAATCAAAATGTAATGACTGATACATTTTGTGTAATCATAAACTGTTTCCTCTCCGTGCAATGGCAGTAATCTAAGGTCACCTGGCTGTGCTGATATTTGGTACAGGAGCACTTCCTATTATTTGATTTTTCTTGAATAAACTGAAATTTTAAGCACAACACCGCAGGTATTTCTGTGACAGGGGTCAAAGTGAACATAACCATGATCAACTCACACCCAAAATCCCGTGGCATTACCTTTGCTGCAACAGATGAGCTGGGCTTTTCCAGGAGGTCCCAAAGTTTCTTTCTTTTTTCGGCACAGCAGGTGTTGTCAAATTCTTCTCCCTCTCTGTCTTTTAAGTTGTCTGCCTCCCTTTTGAGTTCTTCATTCATTTGCTCCTTTTTCTGGTGATATCTTGCTTGGCAACACGACTCCAGGTAGATCTCATCGATGCCCCAGTAGTCTAGTTCTTGACTAAATGAAAGGGCGCACATTTCCTCCATCATGTGCAGCTTACCCGTGCGGTAAAAGTTCAGAATAGATGTAAACGCCCCTGGATGCCGGTCGAAAAAGTACTCATTCTCCTCCAGATTGTAATCATCGCACACTTCCATCAGTGATTCGTGCGAGTTGCAATCTCTTAACTTTCCCAAACGCGTTCGTGGTAGCCTGTCTAACGTTCGCCACAAGACCTCATGCGGGAGACCTCCAACGTTTAGCCTGACTCTGCGGAAACATGACTTGCTGCGAACGATGTCCACTGGTTCAGGTGGCAGCGATGATGTTGACCGAGAGCCGGCTTTATTTAACTCGGCCAAGGATTTCTCCATGATAACTTTAGGTAGAGAGAGCATGAGGACCGCCGAGGCTATGGACTACACTTGATTGTCTCTTCATTCATTATCGTATCTAAAGGAATCACAAAACAAAAACAAACCATTAGTGTTACAGAGCTTAATACAAATGTCCGAGGCCCATTGATTTCAGTTGTAACAGTCGTAACACCTTGCTGCTCTGGCAGCGGTTCACAACCTGGGATACATTACCCCAGAAAGGCAAATCTGACTATTGTTAAAATGATGATAAAACTAAAACAAAATTATTTCACTCACATTAATTCTTCATCTTTCTTCTGAAAATGTTGTTCAACAATCATAAAATGCTTTCTTAACTGTTCACTGGTTGAACTGCTCATGCAAAAATACTGGAAATCAATAAAATTGAGTTATTTCTAATGATATTTCCCAATCAGTTACTGCTGTTCTTGTTGTCTTCAGCATTATTCTATTTTTTTATTTCTTCCTAAAACCACAAGAATCTCTTGGTGAACAGATGGGGGTTATTAAGATGACTCATTCACATATAAACAAGGCAAAAAACAGAATCCCATCTTATTATTGTGCTGCAATCATCTAAAACTGATACTGCAAAAAGCCTCAATAAATGTTATAAAATCTTACAAAATACTTTTGACACTTTTAACAACAGGAACAGAAGAAAAACTGCCTCCAGATGCTATAGATCAGATACATTTAGAATAAAGAAATGAAATCATCCTAATCTCCCTAATCAGCTGTTGTGACTTAAATTAATAAAACAGTCCAATCTTCTTTTTTTTAATTGTTTCCTCATCCAATAGTAGAAAAAATACTCAGAAAGATAAAAGGCTAAAGCCAGCACACACTGGCATCCATTTCTTTTGGGGGGTTAAAAATATTTTGGGAAACTTTACCAAAATGCATCCATGCTGTTCTATCATCAATTAAAGCAAGTGTGGGGGGGAAATGCTGATGATAACAAGTTCCCAAAACTTTACACAACCTATTTGTGCTGACCAATTCTGAAGAGAGCTCTCCTCTGTGGTAACAGATAAAATATTTATCTTTATGACAACAACTATTTCTGCTGTGATGGCTTAGATGGCTGCACAAGGTGGAAAAAGAGGTCATCGTGCCCATTTTTTCTTACTATTAATATTATTATTATTATTATTTTGCCTCCACAGAGGTTGATCTGTGCCCGTATGACGCCCATGCAGTGCTGTGGGTGGGTGAGACGCAGAACACCACGCAGTGATGAATGTCGTACAAAGTGAGCGCTGTCCAGTCCAATGGTGCTGAAACACCAGGAAGCAAATGTTCACTCCCTGAATCACGGCGAGCTCCCTTGGGAGGGCAGGCTATCTGACAAGAAAATATAGCCTACGTTACATCCTCTTGTGACGAAGAGGCCAATATTTTTATGGACCATTTATGACAGTACACGTGGCACAAGCTTCACATTGAAACGTATATATTGAGCTTGTGTGTTGTGTGATGAGGGCACGGAAAAGTCCACAACACATCGGGCCTGCAGATGTGATCACTGTCTCACAAAGTTTGTAATCTTTCACAAGCACAAATAGGCCTGAGGACTAGTTTCAAAATGCGCATGCAAATTTTTTTTTTTAGAAAAAGAAAGAATGAAAAAACTGAACATAAAAGTCTACTGCTGAATTCAAGATGTAGATATTGCTATATCTGTGTTGTGCATGTTGCTGGAATAAATAAAACAATAATAATAATAATAATAATAATAAATATTCATTTGAAGCCGCCTCCACCCTCCTCCTGCTTTATCCAAGTCAAAGCTTCGACAAAACAGATTAAACAAACCACAAAACAAACATCAGCCCCACCTTTGTACACACTGGCAATCTGCGTAGCTACATTGGGAATGGTACTAGCCATCTAAAAGTGCAATGTAGTGAATGCAAATCTTCCATCTTTTCCCGTGTTTTTCAAAGGCTCCCTGCTCCATAATGGTGCAAGCTTAAACGCACAGTGTTCCCCCCATGCAACTGGAAAGCTATTACAATTGATAGGTTGCACATTACACAAAGTCCAGAAATGGAAAATTAGCTCAAAAATACCTTCGTGAGTTGTCATCCTACACTGAATCAAACCAGCACGTACCGCCTTGTGAACAATCAATCCGCTGCCACAAACAAAAAGGAAGCAGTAGCATTTAAAAAAATAATAAAAAAAATTGAGGCGCCGTTATTGGTTTACTATTGCCAGGGTCTAAACCAATCCATTTCCCCCTCCTCTGCCTCCGACATGGCAGAGATATCTTCTGCACGATCTACTGTCTACCCGCCGGTTTCCTGCTCCGCATCTTGCTTCCCTGATTCACCCTGAAGATCAACAAGTACACCGACAAGCTCGTTCGGACAGACTACCTGTGTTCCCAGTCAGCTGTGTGAGGAGGCGCCGCATCTCTGTGAAGGTGGATCCATGGCAGCTCGGCGCTCTCTTTCACATCTGTTTAACTCTTTCACCACCGCCTCCTGCAAATCTATCATCAAAAACACACAGCTACGTGTACGTCAGACTATGATGTCTCCAGAAAAAGACGCGTAAATGTGCATGTGCACAAAAGCCTAGCATCCGAAAACACACCCGCAGCTCCCACCTGACTGGAGAGACACACTGTAGCTCTATTTATTACGTTATTAGGCACTAGTGATGCATCGCTGTATGATGTGTGACTGATGTGATCACTTCTAGATTGATCAGTTTTCACTAGTCTGCTTTGCAGTCCACCATAACCTGTGGGGAGCGGGCGGGGGTCAGGCCCCCAATGAAGAGTGTGGTGAAATATTTTATATTACACGGCACTACAGTGCAATCATTTAAATAATTTCAAAGGTGATATCAATCCTGACCCATTACAAAATCAATATAATCGAGCTGTTGCACTGATCTTTAATGTTGCATCTTCTGTATTTGCATTTCCTTTAGAAAATAACTTCTGAACACAGATAAGAAATCGGAGTCATTAAAAATGAGACAAAATCAGCTGGTTAGTGTTTCATTCAGTTTTTTATTAACATACAAAATTACAAAAATTAAAAAGTTAAATAGGATTTAAGGTGGACTGATCAAATATAAGAATAAATAACATTACAGTATGTCAGTAAGTAGTTTGTACAGTAAGGTGCTATGTTCTCTTCAGTCTGTATCGGACCTGCAGGTCTCCGTCTGGCTGGAGCATCCCAAACCCATAACGACTGGGATTAACAGGAGGCAGTTTAGCCTCAGGGTCACACGGCTCCAGATCAAGATGGGTCAAAGCCAAAAAGACAAATCTAAAGAAAAAAGAAGTAAAAGCTGTTTACATCTTTTCACACATATTAGTACACCTGAGGCTGCTTTAACATTTGCACAGGACGTCTGACATTGGCTGTTACGAGTGACTGTTCTCTAATATCTTTCACCTCTGTCATACAGGTCAGTACAGAGAATAAGCAATGGCTGTATAACAGCTTCTTACTTTAAGATTGAGAACATAAAAGCAGGACTGAAATGATAAAAAGGAGGGATATTATGTGAAGATGGCCAGAACGAGTAATCAGGTTGAAATTGCATGGAACTCTTTGATGATGAAAGTATTATTTATTTTTAAACTTCAGATAAATAATGGAAATATGTTACAAATGATTTTAACACTCACTGTTTAATAGTTGAAACAGCAAACTCTTTCCCAACGCAGCTGTTTTTCCCTGCACCCCAAGGCATGCTGCAATACTTCAGCTTTTTTCCATCCTTGTAGAATTCATCCTTCACTGTCATATCATCATTTAGGAAGCGATCGTACTTGAAAGTCTGTCAAGAGCAAAACATGTGGGCTTTGTTAGCTGTGTGTGTTATGATATCATGGAAACAAGCTTGACTTTTTGGCTATAAAATAACATTTCACCTCTAACGAATTAAGACAAATAATAAGAATGAACATTAATAAATAACCAAGCCCTAGTCCTTGACAAATAATTTGTAGGCATTTACCAGCTTATTGCAGAGGAAGTATTATGCCTGTGTTTTAAATCACAGTGTTTAATCATGCCACCTCGAGGCCAGCTTATTTGCCATAATATAATTAGTATAGAGGGGCCCATGTTGGTGCTGTTAATGCATATATCCTATTCTAGATTAATGCACTTCATATGTACACACTAAATACCTGTGGCTCTTGGTGTATCTGTGGGTCCATTTGAGGGCTGAGGAAAGGGAACAGACAGACTCTGTCCCCTCGTCTGAGGTGGTACCTCTTTCCATTGGCCATGTCCAGGATCTTGTCCTGCACCACCTCTCTTCTGATCATTACTGCAGCAGTGAGCCGTAGGGTCTCACTCAAAATGCTATCTGTAGAATTGAAAGGACAGCAGAGTGGATGATGTCAGAGGGGTGTCAGTGTGAGTTAAGTCAGCGGTGCCCTCAGGCGATTAATTTGGCGACGAACAAACATTGCACAGATACGATTATATGAAAAAGGCAATCAACATTTAATTGGTTCAAAGTTCAAACTGCCAAGGCTGCTGTCACTGTTTCAATACACTGCAGTTATTTCTAACAGCTCAAAATGAGCTTTTGTTTCCATCCCACTGGAGCAATTAAACCCCAAGGCAGAAGGGCTCAAGTGAATAACAGAAAAGGCTGCTAGCAGCTGTTACGTACCAAATACAGGTGTGCTGTGCGCTTCCAGCGGGTTGTTCTGGGGCTGCTGAAAGGAAGTATCCCGTCGAGTGGAAAGGCCTCTGATCTCTGACTTAACAGCCTCCATGGCCTCTGGGTGAGTGAGCAGGAAGCCAAGGAGCCAAAAGGCAGCAGGTCCAGCATTACACTGAAACAAACATTGCAGCGCACAAACCTTTACATGAGTTTCAGATGAAAAAAAACAAACAACAGAATTCATTTTGTACGTATAAAGCTAATATATACCTAAAATAGAGATACTTTTGATGATGGCTATTATTTGCTTTCCTCTAATTTCTCTGTACTGCTGCTGTGTGAATATGACTGATGTGAGGAGAAGCCAATAAGTCACCCCATGCTTTGTAGGCACCTCTGTCAACCACTGTGGGAGACACCTGAGCCTGTCAGACAGTAATTGCTGTGGGTTAGGGGAGCTGTTCTTACTTCTGCTCATCTCAGGTCAACTCTCCATTGACAGGCAGGGCAAATGAGCAAAAGTGACTAGAAGTACATCACACTGTCTTTCTGCCCTCTTAGATCTTCAGATCACATTATATAATGCCTCAGGTTATAATATGAGTCTATCCCAACAGCTGCAGATTCTTAGAGGAAAAATACCTGTCATTTTGGGAATTATAATTGATGAGAGAGAAGAAAAAAACATTTTCATTTGCACACAAAGCAGGTTTTACATTGCAGTTTCTAAATGGAAATTTGCATTAAAGGTTATAGAAGGTCATTTTAGTTATATAGCTATTCCCATTAATCTATCCATCAATCTTTTCAACCACTTATCCCACTTATAGGGTTGCAAGGAAGTTCAAGTGGACCCCAGCTAACATAGTGGAAAAGGCAGAAAACGAATATACAAAATCAACATGATTTGGACTATAGGAGGAAACTGAAATCCAGAGAAAACTATTGTAGTCAAACTTCACACAGGAAGTCCCAACCACCCAGGAAATTCCAACTAGGAGCCTTCTAACTGTGAGGTAATAGTGCTCACCAGCACGACCCACATACCACTCATTTCCCAACTATTCACGGTCCAAAATGCTTTGCTGGCCAGCTATTGGCTTTGACTATATGACTAAATGTGAAAGCAGTTAGCATTAAAATGTGAAAGCATTAAAATCACATTTGCTATAATGTTTAGGTCCAACTTGTGCAGCAGAAATAGGTCTGACCCATGCCAGGTTATAAACACCGGACCTTGAGGTGTGTTTTACGGATGTTGGTGGGGAGGTGGGGTTGCCATTGATCAGGTTTGTTCACTGCAGCCCATAAATGCGTGATCACGTTAGGATCTGGCAAATTTAATTCAGCTTCTTGGGTTCTTTGTCATGTTCCGTCACCTATTCATGCCCAATTTTTCACTACTGCTGCATTCAATGTCCTGACAGAAGAAGGTAGTGACTGACTGGGAGTGTTGATAGGGTGTGCTTGTTCAGCATCAGTGTTTGTGTGCACTGTATGTGATAAAGACATGATCCAAAGTTTCCCAGCAGAACATTTCGATGTGATGAGAAGCTGGATGATATTCCCTTTGCTTGTCAATGGTCTTAATGTTGCGGTTGATCGGTGTATGTTTCAGTCAATAATATTGATTCCTTGCAAATGGAAAAAGAACAGCAACCTCCAGCTTGTGCAAGACTCATGACGATGTAGGCGACTTCGGTGAAATCCTAGCATTTACACTTTACACTGAAAAAAAAAACATCAATCTGCCTGTAACACATGTATAAGCTTCACTCTGGCATCTCTCGCCAGTCTCACATTTAATCCTTCTATTCTCTGCAGTGGTGCTCCAGTTTCCATTCAAGACAGAGACTGTGTGCTCCAATATCCCAGCAGACATGATAATGCAGAAATATACGTGGGGAATGGCGGGCTTTCCCAAACATGCACAGCAGGTGTGAGAGCCTGAAGTGTGGATAGGTTCATCATTGTTAGAATTCCATACATCTGTGTTTAAGGGTGAACAAAGCTTTCTCCAGGGAGAATAACAGGTTAACGATGATGTAAAACTATTACAGCTAAAATGTAGCATAGAGCAACAGCAGAAACAAAGCCCAAATACAGCTCACTATCCCCCCCACCTGGCAGCATGAATAGTGACCTCATTGTGCCACCACTGGGACCTGTCTGAACTAGTGAAAAACCTTAAATCCCACAGTCACACCTGTGTAAATATTGCTAACAATGGAAACACTTTATATTAAAGCCCAATAAATCAAAATTATTAATATTTCAGCAAGGTTTCATGGAAGATACTGGTGTTACTGGATAGTGTAAAAGAGAGTTCTGCACTAGAGGAAGTATCCATGGGAGTATCAATGTGAGTCTTTTTAAAATGATTTGCATCCATGCGCACCGGTTAAACAACATTATCAGAGGAATTGGACTCTAGCCAAAAAAACAAAACAAAAAAACAAAAACAAAAACAAAAGACTGACAGCACAACTGCCTGGTATGATGCCTGAAACTGTCAGAAAAAGAGGAAGCAACTTCAGTTGACTAACACTGTTCTCATTCTCAGTGTTTGCACATGTAATTCTTCACACTCAAGGAATACAGAGTGACGTGGAAAACTGATTCATGGGAACTCCAGTTCAAGTTACATGTTGAAGCAGGTAGCTCTGAGTGACTTGGCCACGGGGAATCTAGCATCTATGATTTCATGTTGGCAAGCTGAACACTGTTGTGTGAAATGGTATTCAAGCGATGGGTGCGGAGGAGTTTTTATGCACTGATGCCACTGTAAGGAATTTGTGGATGTTTATGGTTTGTGTGTGAACGGCAAGGGCGTAGATTT